CATGGCGCAGATGATGGAACATTTTAACAAAAAAATGATGGAGTTCCAGACCGACTTGCAGAAGGCAAAGTCAGAGCCCGCAAGTATTTCTTCACTGGAGTCAAACTTCAAAACATTCCAGTCCTTTACTATCTCTGCACTCACTACTCTACAGCAACAAGTTGAGTTAGTGACTCAAAAACAGGATCACTTAGAGATGCACTCCCGCCAGAAGATTCTATTACTGCATGGTATTCCGGAGTCTCAAAGAGAATCTGTGCCTCAGGTGGTATCTAAGGTGATTGCGGACAGGCTCGAGATCGATGGCTTTTCTACTGACCAAATCCGCCGATGTCGCCGTCTAGGACAGTCATTAAAAGATAAACCACGGCCAATAATCGTCAAATTCCATGACTTGGATGTAAGAAATGAGGTGTGGCATTCAAAGACGAAACTGAAGAGTAGTGGAATAACAATGTCGGAGTTTCTAACTGCGTCTCGACATAGCGCATTTATGTCGGCTAGACAGCATTTTGGCGTAAAAAAATGCTGGACACATAATGGCTTTATTGTCATTATTACTGACGATGGTTCGAGGCATCGGGTCAGCTGTATTGCTGAGGTTAATAAGCTGATCGATTCGTCGCCGTCGGTTACACAAGCCTCACCAGTCGCCACCAGCTCTAAACAACCGGCCGCCGGTAATTCTCGCTCAAAGCGTGCTAAAAAGTGATTGTAAACAGTGTTTGTGTATATTCCCATTTAGACGTAACCATGCCGCTTAGGCGCGTAATCACCACAGCACTTCTAAATATAGCTTTTAATGTAGATTTTTAATATTTTTACCCACTTTTATTTTGTTTTATATTAACTTTTGTTTTCTGTTATGTCAATTAATTTTAGTTTTATATCTGTCATAAAAAGTCATTCTTTTTATTGTTATTGTTTTAAATGTCACTCATTTAATGAATGACACCTAACTTAGCTGTCAAATGTCAGTACAGTAGAGTTGCGATGTTTACGTTCCGTTATCGTCTCTTTTTTTTTTTTTTTTTTTGTCAATGTTTTGATATATTGTTGTACTCCATTAATTTCTCTTCTTTTTTATTTTTATGTAAAATTTATTACAATTTACTAGCAGGTAGATAATTTTGTTGTTGTTTTAGGACTTTGGATAGGATATTAATTATAGTTAAGTTTTAAATCATTAGCATATTTACATACTATTTTATATAATTATTGTATATTTATATATATTATTTACATGTCGAGACGAAACTCTCTTTGTTCCAATGCAACTTCCTCCAATTCTAGTTATGATTCTACATTCAGTGAGATTATTCCTTTGAACGAAATTCTAGATATAAATTTTGATAACACAAATAAAAATTTTAATGTATTGCATATTAACGCACAAAGCATTCCAGCGCATTATCCGGATTTGCTTACATCTTTTGATGTAAAAAATGTGCATGCCGTACTCATATCGGAATCCTGGTTAAAACCGTGTCTTCCATCTAGTTTATATGTACTACCTGGTTTCACTCTTATCCGTAATGATCGAACAGTGGGAGGTGGTGGAGGAGTTGCCATTTATCTACGTTCCCATATTCCCTATAAAATTGTCAGTACGTCTACTATTTCCTACCCCTCTAATGAGCCAGAATTTCTTTTCATTGAAATTTACCTATCCCATTCTAATTTACTTCTAGGTGTTTTTTACAGTCCCAATTCATCAATTGACTATTTCGCTCTTCTTGAAAATACTCTAGAAAACCTTATTCCTTCTCACAATCACACTATTCTCATGGGTGATTTTAATACCTGTCTGTTAAAAAATGATCACCGCGCCCAACGCCTCAGATCTCTTGCCACATCCTGCAATCTCAATATTCTTCCTCTCCAGCCTACTCATTTTTTCCCTAACTCCAATCCTTCTCTGTTAGACCTTTTATTTGTATCCTCTCTTGAACATGTTGTCAGGCATGGTCAGTGCCCTGCTGACGCTTTTTCTTACCATAACCTAATCTATGTCTCATACAAAATCCGCCCTCCTAAAAACAAACGGAAAGTTATAATGCGGCGTAGTTTTGATACCATTGATATGGAGAAATTGCGTGTAGATGCTGCCTCTTTGGACTGGTTGGCGATTTCGGAACTTAGCACAGTCGATGAACAATTACACCTTTTTAACTCTTTCCTTTTAAAATTGTACGATCGTCATGCTCCTGTTCGTCCTGTGCGGGTCAAACACCTTCCTGCGCCTTGGCTTACGGAAGATATAAAGGTTCTTCCGGCGAGAAAATGTAGGGCTAAGGCTAAGTTTCGAGCCAATCCTGACAAATTCCATGACATGTATGTTCGAGCTCGAAATATCTGCAATAAGGCGTGTAGGGATGCTCAACGTCGCCACTTTCACACCTCCGTAGAAAATGGAGACCCTGCTAAGGTCTGGAGATTTCTCAAATCTTTGGGAGTTGGAAAAAATCAAAATTCTAGTAATAACAATATAGACATCGAAAGTCTCAATAAACATTTCTGCTCTTCCGTTGGTTTTGACTACAACGACAAAGTAAATACTTTAAACATTCTCTCTGCTATTCCAACCCCTAATATTCCCACATTTTCTTTCAATCAATTCTCCGATTGTGATGTTAAGAAAAATATATTAGCTATTACGTCGAATGCCACAGGGAATGATAGCGTTAGTCGCAAAATGATCATCCCAGTCCTTGAATTCATCCTTCCTACTATTACTTTCATACTCAATAACTCCATATCCTCTAGTGTCTTCCCTTCCTTGTGGAAAGATGCTCACATAATCCCTATAGCAAAAAAGAGGACTCCTTCAACCTCCTCAGACTATCGCCCTATTTCTATACTCCCATTTCTGTCTAAAGTCTTAGAGCGCCTAGTGCACTGTCAATTATTTGAATTCCTTTCAGAAAATAACATTCTCAACCCTCTCCAATCTGGTTTCCGTCCGGGTCATAGCACGACTACCGCTCTCATCAAAATCACCGATGACATTCGACGTGGCATGGACAAGTCGCAGTTGACGGTGTTAACGTTACTGGACTTCAGTAATGCATTTAACACCGTTGACTTTGATGTCTTGCTCGGTTTAATACGTTCTCTTAACATATCTCCAACGGTAATTGAGTGGTTTCGTACTTACCTGTATGGGCGCCGGCAGCGAATCTGTATAGAGGATAAGTATTCGTCCTGGTGCTATACAACTGCTGGCGTGCCTCAGGGTGGCGTATTATCTCCTCTTCTTTTCGCATTGTTTATCAATTCAATCACTCTTAATCTTCGTTCATCCTACCACCTTTATGCAGATGATCTCCAAATTTACTCACTGACTGACTTAAATAATGTAACCGACGCCATTCGAGACATTAATATGGACCTGTCTCGTATACTTGACTGGAGTAAAGCTTATGGCCTTGCAATTAATCCAGCAAAAACGCAATGTGTCATAATTGGAAGCCCTTCTTACATCTCCAAATTAAAATCACAACATCTTCCTCCTGTTACCTTTAATAACTATAACATCGAATATAGTGTTTGCGTTAAAAACTTAGGTATATATTTTGATGAAACACTGTCTTGGTGTCATCAATTATCGCAGTTGAGCAGAAAAATATTTGCGTCAATTGGAGGTCTCAATCGGCTGCGAAATTTCCTGCCATTGGATACCAAGATTACGCTAGCACATACATTACTACTTCCTATCCTAGATTATGCCGATTCTTGCTATACTAATCTCACTGAAGAACAGCTAAACAAACTTGAGCGACTTCAAAATATGTGTATAAGGTTTATATTTGGTCTCCGCAAATATGACCATGTTTCTCAGTTTCGCAATAAACTCAAGTGGCTTCCTATCCGTTCTCGCAGGAATTGGCACATACTGTCCCTCCTTTATTCTATTCTTTTCAATCCTTCCACTCCTGATTACTTAAAACAGAGCTTCGTGTTTCATAACGATTCGCAAGACCGAGAGTTGCGCAGTACGAGACGTCTTTGTTTGGTAACCCCTCCTCATTCTACTAACTTCTTTTCCCAATCCTTCACTGTCCAGGCTATCCGTCTTTGGAACTCCTTGCCACTTTCTATCAGATCTGCCCAATCCCAGTCCATTTTTAAAAAACTAGTAAAATCTCACTTTCTCTCCAATTAAAAATCTTTCTGTAATGTCCTGTTCTGTTAGACATGTAATTAATTATATATTCTATTTATGTATATGTATTCTATTAATGTATATGTATTCTATTTATATGTATATATATATATATGTATATTAATGGTATTTGTATGTATGTATATTTAGTATTCATATATTATCTAACTTTTTATAGTGCGCCACCTACCTTCCCCTTACTCAATGCTTCTATCTCCCTGGTTGTCTGTAAGAGATTGCTTTAAGCGATAAGGCCGCCTTTTGTTTGCATATCCTTCTTTTTTTTTTATTTCCTTTTTGTAATTATTTGTTTCTTTTATGCACAATAAAGAGTTTTATTATTATTATTATTATTATTATTATTATTAAAATTTATGTACACAATAATATTCATATATTAAACTAGATACACTTACATAAACTACATACATATTATAAACTACATACATAATTTTAAAGTTAAATAGAATAAACTAAATATAAATTAAAATGCCATACTAACTGAAATTTAAATATTGAGGAGGAAGTCTTTTACTTGTCGTTTAAAAATATGAATGGACTTTGCAGTTCTGATAAATACAGGTAACGAGTTTATTCAGTAACAGAGGCTTCAAAATCCCTTTTGTATATTTTTACATGTATTTTATTGGAAAAAGATATGCGTAGTAATTTACAGATTAAGTTTTGTTACAGATTAAATTTTGTTACAGATATGAACACAATGCAGAGTAGACATAAGTTTTTTTTTTTTTTTTTATGTTTCTGGAAGCAGGCGTAGACATACCCCCGGCCTTGGAAGCTCCGACTTCCAACAATTGTACATTTAATATGTTAGTTAGTTATCTTCTGGCTGCAGTGGTAAAGGGCATATCTTAGAAAATGCTCTTCTTGTTACCCCAGCTGCTGTGTAGATATCTGCCACCCGGGAGACACCGTCAGCACCCGGATATACTTGTTTGATTCGTCCCAATCTCCATTTAAGAGGCGGTAAATTGTCGTCCTTTAAAATGACTAAAGCATCCAGTTTAATGTCCTTCTGTTGCGTCTTCCACTTAGTCCGTTGTTGAAGTTCGGACACATATTCTCGAGACCAGCGCTGCCAGAATTGTTGACGTAGCTGCTCAATGTAATGGTAGCGAGATAGTCTTGAGGTAGAGACGTCCAGTAAACTCTCGACTGGCGGAGCAGTTAATGGTCGGCCAATAAGGAAATGGCCAGGCGTGAGAGGGTTTAAATCTGTAGGATTTGAGGATAACGGTGACATTGGACGGGAATTGAGCACGGATTCGACTTGTGTTAAAATTGTGCTAAGTTCCTCGTATGTTAACTTAGCATAACCCACAATACGTCTGAGATGATGTTTACATGATCTTACGCCGCTTTCCCGAAGACCTCCAAAGTGGGAGGAATAAGGGGGGATAAACTGAAACTGTATACCTTCATTTGCGGCAAATTCCAATAACTGTTTACCTTTATTAACAAAAAAGGAAGAAAATTCCTTTGCTGCTCCTACGAAATTTTTACCATTATCGGAATAAATACAATTAGGTTTACCTCGTCTACTAATAAAGCGTTTAAGAGTCAAAATATAATCTTCAGTAGATAGACTGGTGACAAGTTCTAGATGAACTGCCCGAGTAACAAAACAAACGAAAAGAGCTACATAACATTTTGTCAAACGAGCACCTCTGCCCTTTCGATTTAACATCATAATTGGCCCAGCATAATCAACACCCGTTCGTATAAAAGGAAATCCAGAATCCAATCGTTCGGACGGCAAGTTTCCCATAATTGGGGTTAAAGTTTTACCTTTCATTCGCGTACAAATAATACACTCACGCACTATTTTCCTAGTAAGATTTCTGGCACATAATAACCACCACTTTTCTCGAATGTGAGCCAAAAGAAGTTGTGAACCTGCATGTAATAAACGTTTATGATTATACCTAACCAATAACATTGAAAAATGGTGTTTGTTACACAAAAGTATAGGATGTTTCTTGTCATAATCGAAAGTAGTTGCGTTACCTAGTCTACCACCAACGCGTATTATGTTTTGAGCATCTAAGAATACATTCAAACCGGATATACGATTCATCTCCTTGCCGTTGGATTTAATTGGTAAATTACTTAACAATCGTTCGTATAATTCTGGAAACGATTGCATCTGGGCGAATTTAGCTAAAATGAGTTCCGACGCATTCAATTCGTCTACGGATAGACAATCAAGCTGATCAATTGACTTATCACTGCGGTGGATACGGTTACGTGTGTTGTTCAGAAAACGTAATACATATGCCCAAGTACGTCTTAACTTATTGAAAGATGAATAATTTTCAAATTGAACAAAAACTTCTGAACGAACACAAATAAAATTAGATGCGTCTTGAGACCTTAACTCTGGTAAAACGTTTATGTAAGATTTTTCGTTACCGACACTTTTTACATGATCCTGAATGTTGAAATGAGGATTTCGTAGATAAGGCGGACCGGTCCACCACAGATCACAACTAGCCAACATGTCGAGATTTAGCCCTCTCGATAATAGGTCAGCTGGATTGTCTCCACTAGCAACATGGAACCAGATAGAGTCATTCGTAAGTTCGTTTATTTCTGTGACCCGATTTTGTACGAACGGTTTCAGTAAATGCGGTGACATCTGGACCCAACTGATGACAATAGTAGAGTCGGTCCAGAAGAAGACCCGGTTGAAAGTTAGCCGTAAAGATTCGATCACCTTTTTGTAAAGTTTTGCACCTACTAGTGCGCCACAGAGCTCTAACTTTGGTATGGTAATCGACTTTAATGGTGCAACCTTGCTTTTTGCACACAATAATTTTACAGTGACATCAGAATTGTCACTGTAAGTGCGGATATAGGCATACGCTCCATACGCACTCTGTGACGCATCCGTGAAAACGTGCAGTTCCACATGCTGCAAATCATCTCCTATTACATGACGAGGAATTTTTAAATCGTTTAAATGATTAAATGTAGCTAGAAAATTGTTCCATGTTACGGCTATTTCAGGTGACACTTTTTTTTTTTTTTTTAACGTGTGGAAAAATCTTCAAAAGACCATCACCCCGCCGGAGGGATGGCGAGGTGGTGTGTGGGACTTGTACCCACTAAAAAACCACACGGTGTACCTACGAGCGCCTATGCCGGAGCCAGGGGATTCGCAAGTGCATTCTACCCCAGCTCCGACGGCGACGGCCCGCCCTGTAGATGTTGTAGGGCAGGCCCCATCTCGTTTTGTGGTTAGGGCGACCTATTTCGCCCTACTCCATTGTGGAGGCGTGTGGGTACACGCGCACACCTCCGGGGCCTTTGGATTGGGGGGACTGCCTCCCTCAAGGCAGTCACCCCGGCCCCAGTGGGGGTAGAGGGGGGCGGAGTTGGATACGCCCCCACCTCTAGGCCTGGCTCTTCTGCGGCGGAGGGAAGCGGGACGATCTGACTCCCGCTCTCTTTCCGCCGTCTCCTTCCGCGAGATAACTTCCTCGCAGAAGGAGCTCACCGCCAGCCACGATCTCTCGCTACTGATCATCCTCCGAACTAAATTCGGCAGCGAGAGATCGTCCCCCACTATTCGTGTGAGGACACGGCGCTCACTCTCAAACGCTGGACATATTTCCAGCGTGTGTTGCGCCGTGTCCTCAAACCTCCGCACTCGTGGCAGCCGGTCGTCGGCTCCTTCCTCGCCACATGACACAGATACCGCCCGAAGCAACCGTGCCCGGACAATATCTGTGTCATGCGGTACGTCAGTGTATTTCAGGTGACACTGGAGTATCCCAATCCAACTTACTAAGCCACAATTTTTGCAATAACATTTTTGATATAATAGCGGCAGGGGACAATAATCCTAACGGATCATAGATTTGCGAAATGGTAGACAACATTACTCGTTTAGTCAATTTTGTCAACAATGTATAGTCTATTTTTGTCGCGTAATATAATTCATCACTATCATTATGCCAACCAATACCTAAAGTTTTATTTTGCGTATGTTCCCCTACAAATAGGTTGTCTGGTGCACTACAATTGACGTCAGAGTTGAACGTCCATTTTCGTAGTAGAAAACGACCTGACTCTAAAATTTTTGACGTTTTCTCACAAATTTCCAAAAGGGATTGATAATTATCATGGCCCGTAATTAAATCGTCTACAAAGATATCCTCAGTGATGACGCGAGCGATCTCGTCATCCCTACATTCAAATGCTAACTGACGTATACACCGCATACTAAGGTACGGTGCTGATGCCGTTCCGTACGTTACAGTATTAAGTTGATATATTTTCAACGGATCAATTGGTTTGTCCCTCCAAAGAATGAGTTGCAGGGTCCGTTGATCAGACTGAATCATCACCTGTCTAAACATTTTTTCTACATCGGCACAAGCTACATATTTGTATTGATGAAAACGAATAAGAATAGAAAAGATATCGTTTTGGAGAGCTGGGGCGGGTAATTGTATATCGTTGAGTGATTTGTCTGATGAACTGGCAGCACTAGCATTGAATACGACTCGCAGTTTTGTAGTAGAGCTATTTTCTCTAAAAACACCGTGATGAGGTAAGAAGTAGTTAGGATAATCAACGCTATCTATGCGATTCATATGACCCAACATTTCGTACTCACTCATAAATTGACAGTACATACGTTTATATTCTGGTGAACGTTCCAGTTTACGTTCCAAAGAAAAAACCTACTCCTAGCCAGTGTCAGTGAATCACCTAAAGACTCGGGCGGTTCCTTCAGGGGTATACGGACAAAAAATCTACCGGCAGCATCACGTTTAGTCGTTTTACAAAATAATTCTTCGCACGTTTGTTCATCACGAGTTAGAGGAGTATTATGCGATGACTGTGGTACATTCTCAATCTCCCAAAATCGTTTAAGTTGGTCGTCTAAAGATTGTGTAAAATTGCATTGAACTTCATTTGGAGCAGAAACCAACCCTTTGGAGTATATCGGGCCAGATATCAACCAACCAAATTTAGAGTTCTGTAAAAATGGTCCGTTTACTAATCGAATTCTATTATCGTCCAATATTTCCCAGAAGAGATCCGCGCCTATCAATAATTCGATTTCAGAAGAGGAGTGAAAGGCTGGATCTGCTAACTGTATATTATTGGGTATACGTATATGATCGGTGTCAATACTTGTCGTGGGCAAACTGGATGTTATGCGCTGCAGGACAAAACATTGAACCTTTTTTGTATAATCGCTTAATTTTGAACGTATAATTATATGACATGACTGATTACAGTGTGACACTGACTGTGCAACGCCTGAAATTCGAAGAGTGGACTGTATACAAGACGCATTAATTCGTTTCCTTAAATTATCTGATATGAAACTGTGTTGACTACCACTGTCCAGCAAAGTTCTTGCTGTATGAACTCGTTTAAAATCGTGATCTACTATTTCCACTAGCGCTGTGCACAATAATACCGTTTGTAATGAATTTTCGTTACTAATTCTATTCACAGCGTGATAGGAATCTATGGACATGGAGTGCAATGCAGTCGATGAGCCAGCATTGACACTGCCTTGTCCTGAAGGGATACCTGATTTAATAGACTGATTGACATTAGTCATGTTATTATGATGTTCTGTGGGTGTACATTCATTATGCATACTAACATCATTATTATTATTAGTTTTTAAATGGAGTAATGTATTGTGTTTGCGTGCACACGACTTACATGGTCCGAACAAGCACTCTGTATTTGAGTGTCCAGGTCGTAAACAATTATTACATAACTGCTTTTCACTAACTAACTTCATTCTGTCTTGAATAGACAAATTTAAAAATTGGAAACATGAATAAAGTTGATGATTACCATTACACAATGGACAAGATAAGCGTTTATTATGGTTGGAATTAGAGGATTTGCCTTTAAATGCAGTTGACACAAAGCTATGAACCGACTGAACATTATTTTTATGCTGTGTATTCTTATTTTCATTTATATTAACCATAGATCTACTCTGTACCTTTGAGTGACTTGAAGATATCATATCTAACATGTCTGCTTTACCACGGAGGAATGACAACAGATCTTCTAATTTTAATTTCCTGGAAGAATCACAAAGCAGTGTCCCTTTATGCCTCTCCCAGTCGCGCTCTGTGGAAGTATCCAATTTTGTAACAATTAGATAAATTATTATGGTGTCCCATGAGTCTGTGGGCTCATCCAATGAATTTAATGCTCGCAGATTACGTAACACAGTGTCAATTAATTTCCTAATTTGTGTGTGTGATTCTTGTTTCAAAGGAGGAATTGAAAATAAAGATTTTAAATGATTATGTACCAGAAGTCTTGGATTATGATATCTGGACTGTAATAGATCCCATGCATGCTTATAATTATTAGATGTAAATTCTAAAGCGCTTATTACTTGCAATGCACTATTACTTAGCGAAGATTTTAAGTAATGGAACTTCTGGATGTCGTTTAGATCTGAACGCTCATGTATCATAGTGACATAGGAGTTTTTATACTCGAGCCAAGTATCAAATGACAATCCATCGAAGGATGGGAGCCTAAAGTCTGGAAGTTTCACTTGAGCCCTAGAAATATGACTACTGTTTGATCTATTAGTATTGTCACCAGTCTCGCCACACTCTATTATACCTTCTGAAGTAGCCATAATATCAAAATACAATAATTCAAATGATTCAACATATTCAGAATTGTTTACTACTTCTGACTCTTGACTTAGTAACTCTATTTGACTTTCAATATCATTACAGTTTTTGTATAGATCCATAGCAGCTTTCATCCTAAAACGGATCTCTTTTATTTATGTTCAGATGCACTACTAATTTGAAATGAGTCTAAGTACTTTCTAAACTGAGTCAATCTGCCTTTCAAGTTATCTCGTTGCTTTTTTAGATCTGTTAGTGCAATAGATAGTTTTCGTGTTGGAGAAACTGAAGGTACTGACAGTTTATCATCACCACCCATTCTGAAGGTCTGTGTAGGTATAACTATGATGGGGCGTGTGTCGGGCAACCTCCAAGTATGGGCCATCCATTGGGAGGCTTCCCCATCCTCGTGGATACGTCCGCGGGGAACGGTGGCCGAGCAATGGTTTGGTTCTGGTGCGCCCTGGGCGGGATAGTAGTCGTTCCTTCGGGATATTGCTACTATGTCGGCCGATAGTCCGGCGAGTAGGAGTAGGCACCTCTTTTGTCTTTTCTGTTTTCGTCTTTGTCTTTTCTTCTTCGTCTCTTTTCTGTAACTCTGTTTTCTTTTCTTTTTTTTCTTCTTTGCCTACTGACAAGTCAGGTCCGGTGGGTGCTTAACTGCGCAGCCGGACAGTACTTCGGTGCAACTGGCTTCAAACCGTAAACCTGCACTGGGTGTCGGTGATCACGTCTATCGGCCCAGTGTAGGAGCGGGGGCTCTTGGCTTAATTGCCCGGGGCCGCGAGGAGTCAACCTCTATAAAAAACCTCTTGTCTAAGCTCGGTGCCTGGCGAGGGACAGGTCGTCACGCGGAGCACGCTGCTGGGAATTCCTTTCAGTTAGCGTGTTCCCCGGGGCGGCCGGGTCGGAGGAGTAACTCCGGCCGCAAGGGCACCAACCTTTGGGCACCAGCCGCACCCAAAGTGTATTAGGCCGCAGTCGGTAGCAGGGGGCAACGCCGGCTGTGCAACCTTTCCCCCACACTCGTGGGAACAAATATGGATGCTAAAAACAAAAAAACCGATGTTGGGTCCGTGAAGGACGGTGAGATGGTAGTGTCCGCGAAGGACGGAGTTCAGAAGGGGTCCGAGAAGGACGGTGGAAAGAAGGTGGTGAGACCAGATGCTCTCCTTAGGAGATGCTCTGTGATACTGGAACGCGGAGAACCCAGAAAATCAGGGGATATGTCGTGGAGTACAGAGAGCCTCCCAACGGCCGGTACCAGTCGCCAGGTTAGTGCGGCGGACCTGGAATACTGGTCGATGTCGGAGGTCTCCAGTGTCGATGGAGACACAATTCCGAGGAGGACACGATCCAGAGTTGTTCAGGGGATCGACTGCGGGTCTTCGCGGTCGAGCTCATGCACAACCCTGAGAGACCTGGAAGAGATGGAGTTTGAAGAGCCTGCGCCCTCTGGGCGTAAGAGACGCCTTTCAGAGGCAGAGACAAGCGGTAGAACATCCAACGCTAAGAGCCGGAATACCGGCACGAAGCTGAAGGCGCCCGCAAAAAAGACCGGATTGGACGAATTCAGATACGAATTCTACGAAGGGGGCAAAACATCAGCTGGCAAAACAAAAGCCGGCCCCCCGAAGACGGCGGCAAGGAGGAAAGATGTCGCCCTACTGGACCCTCCTACCTCGGCAGCCGGGGAGGCGGTCCGGAGGGTTAGGTTGGCCGTCCTGGAACATACGGAGGACATGGAGGACATCATCCGGAGGTCAGCGAACCTGAAGGGCACCTTCACCAAGGCCCTGAAGGACAGACTGGAGGGAATAACGAAGGAGGTGGCCACCCTTGAGGGTGATCTATTCCCAACTTCAGTCTCGCCCTCTTAGTAAGGAATCTCCGGCTGGAGAAACAAGTGGAGGACCTGCGCAGGGAGGTCGCCGAGCTCCGCGCTGCGAAAGCGGCTGCACCGGCTGCTCCATCCCAGGAGGCGGAAAGTGGAACCAATTTGGGTTCCTTCAGGGCGCAGATAATGCGGGACGTTGGAGGGACCGTTCGGTCCATGATGGGGTCTATGATGGGGAACTTCATGGAGCAGGTGAAGACCATGATTGCCAAGTCCTCCCCATCAGAAGAAGTCCAGGCCACAACAACGGCCCAACCCCCGGCACCCACATCTGCCGAGGTGGCTTCCCAGCCTGCCGCACAGAACGAGGGCGGTCGGGGTTCTGCTCCCCAGGCCAAGAAAGGCAAGGGTAAGGGGAAGAAAGCGCCCAAGGCTGCGCAAGGGGGACAACCACCGACGGTTAATCCCCCGGCTACCCCATCAACACAACCGGAGGCGGGTTGCTCCTCGTGGGCAACGGTAGTGAGGGGAAACCGGGGCAAACTGACTGTGGTCCCCGAAAGCCAGAAGACGGTCACCGCCACACAGGCGGCAAAGGAGAAGGCGAAGCCGGCGCCCAAGAAGAAGGCGACCCCGCCGCTCCCCTCGAAGTTGCGACTGCCCCGCTCAGCGGCGGTGGTCATAACCATCGGGGACGCGGCGGAAAAGGAGGGCGTCACCTACGCCAACGTCCTGACGGAGGCAAAGGAGAGGATCGACCTCCGCCCCTCGGCATAGAGGATATGCGGCTTCGGCCTGCAATAACCGGGGGCGGATTCTGGAGATCTCCGGCGCCTCCAGCGCGGAAAAGGCTGACGCCCTCGCGTCCAAACTCCGGGCCCTTATCCCGGAGGATGTGGCGAAGGTCTCCAGGCCCTCAAAAACCGCCGAAATGCGGGTCATGGGCCTGGATGACTCACTTACGCCGGAGGATGTCGCCGCCGCCATTGCGCGTGATGGCGAGTGCGTGGCCGGGGACGTCAAGGTCGGGCCCATCAGAAGGAGCAGCCCCAAAGCCTTGGGGTCTTGCTGGGTCCGCGGCCCTATGGCGGCCGTAAAAAAGGTCACGGCGGAGGGTCACATGCGGCTAGGATGGGTGTCCGCGAAGGTGGAGCTGCTGCGGCAACGTCCGCTGCGGTGCTTCCGATGCCTACAAAGTGGGCATGTCAGGGCGCAATGCACACAGGAGGAAGACCGCAGCGGGCTTTGTTACCGATGCGGAGAGGCGGGCCACAAAGTCGCAGCGTGCGCCGCAGCCCCCAGATGCGCAGTATGTGCGTCCCAGGGGCGGCCGGCGGACCATTGGGTGGGGAGCAAGAAGTGCACCCCGCCCAAAAGGAAGGGAGGAAACGGCCCGCCTCACAGGTCCCAGGCCGTAGGAGTGGAGCAGAGGAGGGGATGGACACCTCCCCTCCCAGCGAACAAGGAGGCAGGAGCGGCCCAAGCCGCTCCTAGATCGCTACCGGGCCGGGGTGACGACCGCGGGGGCGGTCCCACCCCAACACACTAGGCCCGAAGAAGTCGCGCGCATGTCCCCGCGCGCCTTCCCCAGGGAGGACAGGGGAAGTGGTGGGTTCCATAGGGAACCCGCAGAGATGGGGCCCGCTGTAGAGTGGGCCACCGCCGTCGGAGTTGCGGTGGACTGTAATATGATCCCGCGACTCCGGCATATGGCGTTGGGTGAGGGACATCTTGGAGTTTTTAGTGAGTAGGAGTCTCACAGTACCCGCGGGCTTCCCCCGGGGCCGGCGGGTCTCCATGAGGGATTTTCTCCAAGTCAAAAAAAAAAAAAAAAAAAAGGTATAACTATGATACTTACAGATTAACTACGCAACGCGAGCAGTACACAACGTTTTAGAAAATGAATACGTGTCACGACAAACTGAAATCCAAAAAATACAATATTTTAACACAAATCGTTTAGTAAGGATTAGGAAATAGGATTGAAGACCTGACCATTTAACTGATTCTTATGGATTCCTCTTGATTATATATGATTTTTACGAATTCCTCTTATTTGATAAGGTGCCGGTATTGGATTATTCCTGCACTATGGAGTCTTCGTATAAACGTGTTGGTATTTGCTTCACCATGAATCTTCGTATATTTGTAATTATTTAGTCGTATTCGGCTCGATGTGACCATATATTCAGTAACAGAGGCTTCAAAATCCCTTTTGTATATTTTTACATGTATTTTATTGGAAAAAGATATGCGTAGTAATTTACAGATTAAGTTTTGTTACAGATATGAACACAATACAGAGTAGACCTAGGTTTTTTTTTTTTATGTTTCTGGAAGCAGGCGTAGACAAGTTCCATAACTTGATACCAGTTACAGTATAGGAATTGTGATAGAATTCAGTGGAATGCGAAGGAGTGGAAAGCAAGAGATTTTCGGAAGAACGTAATAACAAAGAATGAGTAAAAGAGGAAAACATGAAACGTTCTTTGAGATAGGAAGGAGCTTTGGGATTAAAAAGGATGTTGTAAAGGAATGTAAGGGTATGCATATCTCTTCGCTGTCGAATAGTAAGCCACTTAAGTTGGGTACGATATTGCGATACATGATCAAATTTGCGCAGGCCGAAAATAAATCGGATACATAGGTTTTGAAGACGCTCTAATTTATTGAGTAAATCGGAATTTAGGTCTGGATAGGAGACATCAGCATAGTCTAGGATAGGGAAAAGGAGTGAGTTTGCAAGGGCAATCTTAGTGGCCGTGGGGAGGAAGTTTTTGAGACGACGGAGTGATGCAGAGGCTGCAAACATCTTCCTGCTAACCTCCGTTACTTGATATTTCCAAGATAGTGTTGAATCAAAAAAAACACCAAGATTTTTAACTGACTCGCTAAAAGGAATACAGACGCTATCAAATATTATAGAAGGCAAGTCAATGTAATCCAGTCTAGATGTATACGCAGGGCTACCTATAATAATTGTTTTGGTCTTCTCAGGGTTCACTTGAAGACCATAACATTTGCTCCAATCCAAGATCCGTTTCAAATCATTATTTGTCTGATTAATAGCGTCTGCAAGATTCTCAAGAGTAGCCTGTGAGTATATTTGTACATCATCTGCATACATGTGGTAGAAAGAAGAAATTTTGAGGGTAATCGAGCTGATGAAGATTGTAAATAAGAGAGGAGACAACACACCACCCTGCGGAACGCCAGCGATACTGTTACACCACGACGAAGTGGATAGATCAATTTTAACACGCTGCCGACGCCCATACAGGTAATTATGAAACCAATCGAGTACCGCTGGAGATATGTTAAGAGAACTTAGAACTCCTAAAAGAATGTCAAAATCGACGGTATTGAAGGCGTTACTAAAATCTAGTAGCGTTAATACAGTAAGCTGTCGATTTTCCATACCCGATCGAATGTCATCGGAAATCTTGACCAACACAGTAGCCGTACTATGACCAGGGCGGAAACCGGATTGGAAGGTATTATGGAGACAGTTTGTAGTAAGAAATGAACTTAATTGCCAATGAACTAATCGTTCCAATACTTTTGACAAGAAAGGAAGAATCGAGATGGGGCGATAGTCGCTGAAGGAAGAAGGATTGGCTTTTTTAGGTAAAGGAATTATATGAGCCTCTTTCCAGCATTGGGGAATGGAACTAAAAGATATGGAAAAATTAAGGATATTGGTTATGATAGGAACAAGAATGTCTAATAAGGGAATGATCATTTTACGGCTAATGCCATCAGCTCCGATAGCATTGGAGGTAATCGATAGTATACTTCTCTTAACATCACAGACAGTGAAACGATTAAAAACAAAAGGATTGTAACTAGGAGTGGATTTAGAAGAAAGACAATTTAGTGTATTAGTTTTGACCAAGTTGTCAAGACTAGAAGAAGAGGCGAAGTGATTGTTGATCATGTCAAGATCGAGATTTGCGGAATAATCTTTATTACGAGATTTACCAACTCCCATAGAATTAAGAAATTTCCAAAGTTTAGTTTGGTCTTCATTTTCAATAGAATTATGAATATGGTGTCGCCGTGCGTCTCTACACATCATGTTGCAGTGATTTCTTAGACGGTGATATCTGTCTCGTCGACGGGTATCTGTGGGGTTAGCCTTAAAATTAGCTTTGGCTCTAATTTTTTTTTTCTCGTATGAGACGAATATCATCAGTAAGCCAAGGAGCAGGAAGATGCTTAATTTTAACTCGACGTACTGGTGCATGGACGTCAAAGATCTGTGTAAGGAGAGAGTTAAAGATATCCACTTTATCGTCTATTGTTACGGCCTGATCTATTACAGACCAGTCTATCTTTTTGGCATCCTCACGAAGCCCATCGACATTCAAGCCTCCAAAATTGCGTTGCAAAAGGATTTTGGGTTTAGGTTTAGGAGGTCGGATTTTATACGAAAGGTATATAAGATCGTGATAGGAAAAGGCATCTGCGCTAATTTGACCATGTTTCGCTACATGGCCGGGAGAAGTAACCATAATAAGATCCAGAAGGGACGGGGAGCAATTAGGAAAATAATGTGTAGCATTTAGAGGAAGTATGGACATGTTGACTGACTTAATAACATTCTGAAGGTGTCGTGCTCGAAAATCAGCTTTCAATAGGCAGGTATTAAAATCTCCCATAATAATATTGTGGCTATAGGACGTACTAAGATTTTCCAGTAGGTTTTCAAAGGATGGAAAGTAGTTAATCGAGAGATTAGGGCAGTAATAAACGCCCAGAAGAACCTTGCTGTTACAAAGAGTAATCTCAAGAAAGAGATGCTCAGCTGAGTTCGGAGGAGGAGGTTGTGGGGATTTGCTAATGATGGTGTAAGGAATGTGACTGCGGAGATAAATAGCAACACCACCATGCGAAGTAGAAATGCGGTCATTTCGTAATAAATGGAAATCAGGAAGAGAATATGAGGTAGATGGTAACGAAGGATGAAGAAAGGATTCAGAGACAAGGATAGCATGAATGTTTTTATTGTTACCAAATGTAAGAAGCATGTCAGAATAGTGGGCTGGAATGCTTTGAGCATTGATGTGTACTGCATTGAAATTATTTGAAAAATCATAAAATTCTGTAACAAGGGTATCAGTAAGGGAACCATAGGTAGCACTCTGAAAACTATTATCGCTAGTCGAACTTTCAAACGACAAGTAATCATCACTGACATCATTATCTACAGTTTCTGGCATCATGTAAAATAATCAATAATATATAAATATATACCAATATTTATTAATATAAATAATAATAAATAAATATCAATAAAGTGTATATCTCTATATAGTATAATATAATATATAATTCAATAGTAATAAATCAGTCAGTCGAGGTCGTCCGCTGGTCCTTACGGACCGCCGGGTGCGGGCCTCGAGCATAAGCTCTTTGCCCGGGCGTACTGCTGGGGTGTGCCACCCCAGCGTCGTTCGTTTACCGGCCGGCCTGCCGGCCGGCCAGCCAGCTGCTTCCCAGCAGCCGGCTGAGGGAGTCGTGTGGGAGGACTATTTAAGTCGCTCGCCGAGCCGGCTTAACGCCGCCACGTCACGTAAATGACGTGATCACTCGGTGGAGAGTAGGTCGCGCGGGAGCGCGCGAGTGGCGTCCGGTGGGCGCGCGTGGAGAGGGGCGAGGTCGCGCAGGTGCGCTTCGCGCCCGCTGTCCGCGCGCGAGAACATCGCGCGCGTCAACCGGACGACGAACTGCTCCACCGATGGGACCTTGAGGTCGCGGGCGATCACGTCATTACGGACGTACCGTCCGGCATTTGTGCACAGACGGAGGGCGGCGTTCTGTTGGACCTGCAGTCTCCGCCGCTGTGAGGCCGAGCACAGTGCGTACCATGCGGGGGCGGCATATGTGAGCCGCGAACGAATGTAGGTCTTATAAATGCCTACCTTCGTCCGCAGCTGCAGCCTGGATTGCAAGACCGGTCGCAGCATAGCGCGCGCGGCCTTGGCTTGGGTAACGGCCCGGTCCACCTGCGGCGTCATACGCAGCGACCGGTCGATTTCCACCCCTAGGTAACGCACTGTGCGTTCCCACTGGATGGGCTGGCCTCTCAATAGGAGGGGCGGCGGATATTTGCCCCCGGGGCGGGTAAGCAGCGCCACCGTTTTACCCACGTTAACGGTGGTACGCCACTTATCCAGCCACTCGGGGAGCAGGTCCAACAGCCGCTGCATTTTGCGAGCGGCTGCGTAGGCTCGGCGAGACGACGTGAGGAAGGCACTGTCGTCGGCAAATAGAGCGAGGACGACATCCCTCTCTCCCTCTCGGAGCTCATCCCTCAAGGTGGGGATGTCGTCTGTGTACGTCGCGTAGAGCGCTGGCGAGATGCAGCTGCCCTGCGGGACTCCGGCGGCGATTGGGCGTGTGGTAGAGTCACAGTTCTCGACCGAAACGTAAAAGCTCCGGCCCGAGAGGAAAGCGTCCACTACTCGCACGTATGCTGACGGCGTGTTGGTGTCGAGCAATTTCGACACCAAACCGTCGTGCCACACACGGTCGAACGCCTTCTCTATATCGAGAAATACGCCGACCGTGTAGTGGCCGCGGTTGTGCTCGACAGCCATGTGGTGGAGCACGCGCGTCAGCTGCAAAGTCGTCGAGTGTCCGCCTCTGAAACCGAACTGTTCGTCGCGAGGCGACAGGGTCGGTTTCAAGCGGCGGAGCAGAAGGCGCTCGAACGACTTTGCTACGTGCGAGAGCAGAGTGATGGGCCGGTAGCTTGCCGGCAGACGTTTGTCCTTGCCGGCTTTCGGGAGGACTATGACTCTACCCAACTTCCAGCTGTTGGGGAAGTGGCCGGTCCGGAGTATGCCGTTGTAGAGCCTCACTAGACATACTAGGGCTCTACGGGGCAGCTGTGCGAGCGCTGCGGTGCTGATCCCGTCCGCTCCGGGCGCTTTGCGCTTCGGCAGGCGGCTGACGAGCCGCCTTACCTCGCCGGGCGAAACGAAGCTCACCTCGTTTACGTCCGGCGACGGAGCGGTACGGAACTCGCATACGCGACGTACGACTCGCTCGTGGTGCTCGACGACAGTGCGTGGTGCGTCGGCGGCGACGGGATTGGCCGTAAATTGCCCCTCCAGGTGCTGTGCCAGGATTTCTGCCCGGTCCTGAGCTGCGTAACAACGTCTGCCCGTCTCGTCTAGCAACGGGCAGACGGGGGGTCGTGCGTTGGTGAGCTGTCGGTTGAGTGCGTGCAGGGTGGTGGCGTGTTCGTCCGCCCGGGAGATGACGGCCTCCCAGGAGGAGCCACGCCAGTCCCGCATCCCTTCCGACAGCTCCGCAGCCAGGCAGTTGAGCTCACGCTTGACCCGCGGGCAGCGGGTGCGAGCCCATAGGCGGCGGAGATCTCTCTTTCGCGCCAGTTTTTCGCGCAGATGGTATGGCAGCTCCTCTCAACGGCGAGAAGCCACGTTTACGGTGGTAGTGGCCGCCTCAGTGGCGGAGCGAATTCGCTCCGTCATGAAGACGGAGGCGGCCTCTATGTCCTCGGGCGTTGATAGGTCGCCGTCGAGGTGCAAGTGCTCCAGTTCTGCGCGAAAAACGCGCCAATCCATCCGCCGCCTCGACGGTCTCGTCGATGTGGTGGTGGTGGAGAGGTCAAGCGTGGCTAGGACAGGGAGGTGCTGCGTATCGAGGTCGTACAGCACCTCCAATGTCACCGGGCAGGGCACAGCCTGTACCAGGGCTATATCCAGAACGTCTGGGTTGTGTCTCGGGTTCGTGGGTACGTGGGTGGGATGTGCAGGGCCCAACACCTCGTACCCGTGGATTTGGGAATCCTGGAGGAGCCTTCGACCTACCCGCGAAACAAGACGGGAACCCCAAGCCGTGTGTTTCGCGTTGAGGTCGCCCATTAGCAGGGTAGGGCTCCTCCCATCCAGTACGTTCCGGATATCGGAGGGGCAAAATTCAGGCACCGGGGGCGATACGTTGCCAGGACCTTCAGTTCCGCGCCGTCGACATTGATGCGCACGCCTATGGTGCGCATGACGCGGAACTCGGGGCGCTCTAATTCCACGTGTACTACGTCGCGGCGGACTAGTACCGCTGTGCCGCGGTACCCTTTGCCCGCCGGTGACCTTTCGTCGCGTCTGTACACGTGATAATTAGGCACCCTCAACGTCTCCTTTTCTGTCAGCTTCGTTTCACCCAGGAGTATAATGTGTACGTCCTGGGTGTGAGCTAGGAGACGGAGGTCCTGGATCTTGTCTCTCACTCCCCCGGGGTTCCAATACACGATGCGTAGCTCGCTACTGGCCATTCGTGTATTGGTTTATTTTGGCCAATCCTTTTGTCGCCGCCGACTTTATGTCCACGCCGGCTGCGAGCGCGAGCAGCAGCTCCGTCAACAGGCTAATAAGCATATCTAATGCACTGTTGACGGGCGCTTGTGTGTTGGGCGCGGGCGCAAGCACTCTACGTGCCGGTCGCGTCACAGAGGGTGCAGGGGGCGCATTTCGCGCGTCCACCGCTTGCGAAACGGCGGCTGCTGTCGGCACTGTTTGTGCCGGTAGCGCCGCCTGGCGGCGGCGCGGCGCAGCTCGCGGGCCCCTTGTTTGTACCGTGGATGCGGGTGGGGCGGAAGGCGCTTTGTCCGCCTCCGGGATGCGGTGGGAAGGGACCGGCGTCGATGCCAATACTGGCGCATCCCCGGTCCTCTTCTTACCACGCCTACGGCGGCGACGCTTCTTGGTGCCGGCTCCGACGCCGCGTTGTGTCGGTTCATTTGCCGGCGCCATTAGGTTGGCGTCTGTGGCTTCCTCGACCGTAATAACGGGAGGGGGGGCCTGGGCGACAAATGTGCGCGGTTTCGCGGAGGGCTTGCCGCGCCGCTGTTGCGCCCTAGGCACAATTGTATTCGTCTGGGGGAGAGGGGGGCGGGGTTTGATACCCCTCTGCCTGGCCTCTCTTTTGTAGACCGCACACTTGCGGTCATTGGCAGTGTGCGGCTTGGCACAGTTGGCGCAGGTCGGTTTGTGGTCCCGCGGGCGGTCGCAGTCCGCTGCCAGGTGGTCACCCGCGCAGCGGACGCATTTGAGTGGACGGTGGCAATTTGTCGAGGCGTGCCCGAACGCCTGGCATCGGTGGCATTGCGCGAGCACCGATGCCGGCTTCCACGCCTCGATGACCACACCTCGCATGCAGAGGAGCTCTGTGACGGCATATAGCCGAGCGAGCTCCTCTTTCGCCATGGGGTCCAGCTGTGCGTGGAATATGCATCCGGGGCGGCCGCGGCGCGCCGGAATGCCGCGCACCAAACGCACGCCGAACCCCCTGTGCTTCAGGGCCTCCACTATGCTGTCGATTGGGGTGTCCGCTGGGAGGCCCCTTATGGCTACCTTGGTCGGTAGCTCCGAGGCCAGGCTGTAGTAGTACCAGCTTATGGTGGGATCCCTCTCGCTAGCCTCCACCAGGTACTTTTGTATAGCACGGTATTCCGCATCCGACTTAGGGAGAAATCGGAATCCCGTGCTGAAGGGGCGGGCGTTGGGTGCCTCGCCCAGGACTCTCGCCAGATTCGCAAAGTGGCGGGTCCAGTTCGGCAACCTCTCAGCCACTATAGGCGGATATTTAGCCGCCGCAGTGGCTGGCCCTTCGCTTCCCGAGGGTTGGGGGGGGCTGGCACGACCGGTGCTGCCGCCGGAGTGGCGGTTGAGGACGACGGTCCTGCTGCTATCGCCGCAAACGACGGAGGTGTCCTCGTCCTTGGTGAGGGGACGGGCGGCGGGACTGACTCCATTGTCGGGTCACTAGCAATGCCCGCGTATGACGTTACGTCAAAGTCACCCCGGTTCAAGGTGAACGAGCGGGGTGAGGCGCGGGGCGAGGCGCGGGGTGTGGGGACAGGGGACTGCGGTGACGAGTAGGCGTCGCCGTAGTAGCACCCGTCTGTCTCTTCTTCCCCGCTTCCAGATGAGGGAGAAGATGAGCGCGGGGGCAGCAGCGGCGATCGTCGCATTGCACCTGTCTGGGGGAGGGGCTGGTTGCTCCTGTCCACCAGACGGAACTGGGGCCTCGGAGGCGACCTCTCTAGGTCGATGTCGGCCGGGGGGGACTCCTCCATGTCCCTCCTCTTGTCACCTCGAGCCGGCGACGACGGCGACGGCGGCGTGCGCCTTTTCGAGGGGCCAGGTTGTGCTCCCGTTACCCCCCCGCCTTGTTCCCGGTCGGCGGCATCATTGCCGCTTCCCGCGAGGGCAGGGGGGGTACCTTTGGTTCCCGGGCGAGCGTGGAATGTCCCCAACTCGGTGGTGGGGACGAGCTTGGTCGGGTCCGTGAGGTCCCGACGCACTACTGTGCGTGGGTTACCCCTATCGGGGGGTTTCCTAGGAGCTTTTCCCCGTTGGGACATGCTCTTGGGTCTACTCCTGCGTTGGGGACACGACACGACCTGAAAAATCCAGGCCGCGCCCTAACCAATCTAACGCAGGTGCACTTGTCCTCCCCGTGAGGCGGCACCTGCGGGATTGGAGAGGGTGGTGTGGGGGTTGGAACCCCACTGCGAACCTTCTAAGAAGGTGGGTTGTGGCCCTGAAGGGCAGCAGTCACTTTGGTGACAATCGCAGTTGGATTGCAGCGACGAATTTGCACCAACAAATTCGGTCTGCAATCTTAGCGCGTTCTCTCGCTAGACAAAGTACACTTTGTGTAGCTGGATTACGCACTGTATCGCTCTCAACAATTTGCGCAAGTGGGCACCAGTTGCGGGGCTCACTCTGGAGACTCGACGGCGAACCGGAATCTCACAGAGGATCACACGACCAACGGTAAACTCAACAAGCAACAAATTGGAAAGCGACGACGAATTTTAGTAATAAATTACCAATATAAACTGTATTACAAAACAAGCGTTACCCGCCAGAAGCCTTGAGAGATTATGGAAAAACAATAACATATAAACATTTCATTACTTACTAAACAAAAGAAATACATAAATACACAACACCGCACTTTTAAAACCGTATAGCTGTATATTGACAGTACATTTGCTTGCATACAAATAAATTAAGATTCTAATGACTGACAGAAGACTGAGAACAAAAGACGTCATTATTGACTATGGACATTACATTTGACACAACATAAAACAAAAAAGAAACAATTTAAATAAGGTTATCTGTGATCTGTGATCTGTTATCTATGAACATAGTGTTCATGAGTTATACAAAGATTTGCAAAATAATATTAATTTTATTCCTAATAAATGTCAATGTTTTATGCAAACACCTACAGTGTTTTGAAGACTCTAATTAATACATGTACTTGTAAAATTACCTACGATTGGATATACGAAATGCGGGTGCGTGATTAATAATTTTAGCTACTAACAACAAATCATAAAACAGTACAGTACATAATCATGTACAGAAATATGATTATCTCTTTAATCTCTTTAATTATAATTATTATTGTATTAGTGTTCCGCTTTTACTTGCTAAGTTGACTTATTATGGTGTTGATCCACAATCGATTGGGTGGTTTTTTTTATATTTAAATACATTTTTCCACAGACATATTCGTCCGTGCCTTTTTTAATTTACTTTAATATTATAATATTTATTTAATTTCCATTTTTGTACAACTCCAGCCGAGATGTTACAATTTGCCTAACAGTGACACCGAGGCAGACCTTATCCGTCTGGCCCAGAACCACCGCTGGCCGGCCGGGTGAGTTGACAACATGCAGTGTCACCCATCTTTATTTGGAGGATTAGATTTATCAATATGCATATACAATTATATAAATCTTACACTACTACTAATTTCACAGTTTTAATTACATTGTGCAATGTAATAATTCATAATGTAACAATACACATTATGAATTCTTACACTGTGTTCGCGCGCTTAAGTTACGGCAAAAATGTAACACGTTGTTGCGGGTGGAAGAATAATAAATGTCACTCACTACTAACTCGACCATTTTACACAAGTGATTCTTGCTCTGTACAATATTATTATATTAAATGTCTAAATAAGTAAAACATCGAGTTTCACTAAAGAAATTCCAATCTTGTGCTAAAACAAGAAAATTGGCGACCGTGACAGGACAAAAAACCTGTGGATTAACGAAAAATATTGGATATTTACATAATTGGTGAACACGCCACCAGTACGAAAAATCATACAAATTGAAGAAATGGTGGATATATGGGAACCAAATACCATTTGAATTCAGTAAAGCAGTGAAGGTCAAGGATACATCCAAAGTGTCACGCCGGATGCAGCATTAATTAAGCTGGATTTTGCTGGATTTTGAAAAAGATAAGTGCCGTTCCATTGTTCCCTTGTAAAACTAAATTAACATCCAAAATACTTTCCAATCCTATAATATATCTATCCAAATCTCATTATATTACAAAGTTAAGCTTACTACTTGTGCATTTATTAAGTATTTCAAGCATTTTATTTAAATTGCGTAGTATTTGTACTGAAGTGTAGGCAGATATTTATTTTGTTAATTGTTAAGAAATATTCATTTTATTTTTAGTAAAAATACATATAATTGCAATAAATATAGATTACGGTGTATAAATATCACCATTTGGGTGTCAATATAATAGTTATTATCCTATTTTCATGAAAATACGCCGAACAATTCCAGACGCTGCGCGGTGTGTTACGAGGTGCTTACGTCGTCTTGGCTGACGGCTGACCAGCTGAGCTGTGAGTGCAGCGGCCGGTTTGCGACCCGGCGGTTTTCGTCGAAACGAGGAGTATAAGATACGTAGAAATTTTATACACTTCCAAATAACGTCCTATTTGTTGATACGTCTATATATGTTTTAAAACATACGTAACAAATAATACATTTCTGTATTACATATTCAGTACTGTATTATATACAGTATTACGCATTACAATATTATATTAAATAGAACTTATTCATAATTAATCATGTCAACTGAACCAATAGTTACGAAATCCTCTTTGAAGGAATTGCTTATAAAACGTAGTTCCATCAAAGGGCAAATAACAAAATTCAAAAACTATTTAGATAAATTTGGCAAACTTTCTGAAATATCTACATTAGAAATAGCGGAATTAACAGTACGACTTAGTAAGTTTGAGGCGTTATCAGCTAAATTTGACATTATGCAAACTCAGATTGAGATCATAAATTCCGAGAACATATCTTCGGAAATTGATGAACGTGACGACATTGAGCAGGATATTATTAAGAACATTGCTTTAGCTAAAACTTTTATTAAACAATATGATAATTTGGAAATTGATGATGTCAACCGACGTGAATCGGTATCCAATGTCGTTTGCGATCATCAGCAGCTGGGATTTCAGCTTCCTCAAATCCAAATTTTAAAGTACAGTGGTTCGTATTTCCGGTGGTTAGAATTCAAAGACACATTCCTAAATCTTGTTCACACTAATCTACGTATACCTGATATTCATAAATTTCATTATTTAATTTCATACCTAGAAGGTGACGCGGCTCGTATCATATCAAATCTAGAAGTGTGTTCAGCTAATTACAAGGAAGCTTGGAAGCTGCTTTGTGATAGGTACGATAATAAAAGAATTCTTATTAATCATCACTTAGATTCATTATTTAATATTCAACAGTTGCCTAAAGAATCTGAAAAATCACTACGTTTTTTGGTTGATCATGTCACTAAAAATTTACGCGCGCTCGCCAGTCTTGGCCAGCCTACTGATTACTGGGACATATTGATCATTTATATGCTAACATCTAAATTAGATACTACTACCATGATAAAATGGGAAGAATTTCGTAACAGTTTGGACGACGTACCAAACTTATTACAATTCAATAAATTTTTAATTGATCGTGCCGATATTTTATAATCCTTAAATCGTAATAAGGGTACAAACGACAATCAAACTTTCAATAATTCATCTAATTTTAGCAAACCACCATATGCACCATGTTCTTTCCAAGGTCAATTTTCTAAAAACAATAAGCGTAATAATTTTGAACGTGCACAGCATATTAATACTTATGTTAATATTACGGAAAATAAGCCTAATATTTTACGTTGCATAATCAGTGATGGAAATCATAAGATTTATGATTGTACAACTTTCAAATCAAAAAATATTCACGAAAGATTTTCTTATGTTACTAAATACAAATTATGTCCTAATTGTCTCAGACAAGGTCACGCTACCACTGAATGTAGAATGGGTCCTTGTCGAATGTGTACTCAAATGCACAATACCCTTTTACATAACTCTAATAATATTCATTCTCAATCCAATAGGAATGAATCTGTGGTAACTTTTTGTAAACAAACCCCAAGCCAAGTTCTTCTGTCTACAGCTTTGTTAGAAGTATATAATCCTGAAAACAGTAAAACGGAGTTAGTTCGAGCACTTTTGGATTGCGGTAGTCAGTCATCGTTTATCACAAAATCACTGCAACAAAAACTATCTCTTAAATGTAATTCATTAGATGCTATTAAAGTCATAGGAATAGGTAACAACTGTTCAAATAATGTTGTAGAATACTGTAACACTAAATTAAAATCAATTAATAGTGCTTACCAAGTGAATTTAAGATGTTACGTTCTTAATGAACTGACTGGTAGTCTCCCGAAGGCTCCTATTGACATAGAAAATATTAAAATACCAGAACATATTAAGCTAGCTGATCCAAATTTTTACTTACCTGGTCCTATAGAAGTGTTGATAGGCGCAGACATCTTTTGGGATATACTTGGCTGTGAGCAGCATGAATTGGGCTCGAATTTACCAAAATTACACAACTCTAAATTTGGATGGGTTGTTGCTGGTCCTTTGCATTCACCTATCATGAATAATAGTAATATTCAATGTAATAAGGCAATTATTTCAAATTGCAATATAGACGAAATGTTAATTAAATTCTGGGAACTAGAAGAATTGCCACGAAAGAATATTCTTAGTCCCAACGAAATAGCTTGCGAAAATCATTTTATAAACAATACAGTACGATTAAATACAGGCAGATTTTGTGTGAAATTGCCCCTAAAGGAATCCCCAGACTGCCTTGGTAACTCATACTATTTAGCAAAAAAAACGTCTACTAAATCTTGAAAAAAGATTCAGAAAAAATAAAACTCTAAAATTACAGTATATAGAATTTATTCGCGAGTACTCTGATTTAGGACACCTGTCTCAATCACCGGTATTCATTCCAAATTCGTCTCATTATTTTTTATGCCATCATGCTGTCTTCAAGGACGACAGCGAGTCTACTAAAGTTCGTGTCGTGTTTGATGGCTCCGCTCCTACAACCTCCGGATATTCTGTCAATGACATTTTGATGGTAGGTCCGAACCTTCAGAGCTCTCTTCTCTCCATTTTAATCCGATCGCGTCAGTACAAATTCATTTTGACAGGTGACATCGCTAAAATGTACCGCCAAATAGAAGTTCATCCTGAAAATCGCAATCTACAACTTATTTTGTGGAGAGAAGACGAGCATCAGCCTATCCGAACGCTGCAGCTGAGTACTATCACTTACGGTACTGCAAGTGCTAGTTACTTAAGCACCAAATGTCTTTGGCAGGTGGGAGAAGAGTGTGATGACGAATTAATTAAAACAATCATTCAAAATTATTTTTATGTCGACGACCTGATAACTGGTTGCGATGATGAATGTCAATTGAAATACATACAAAATTCAGTTTCTAAAGCATTGAAATCAGCCTGTTTTCCACTACGAAAATATAAAACTAATCTTAAAACATTATTTCAAAATTCAGATCAAATATATAGTATGGATAATGAGAATCTTACCTTCAGTGAAGCATCGAGCACTCTGGGTCTTGGTTGGGATCCTGCAACTGATGAATTTAATTTTCCTATCAAATTTCCATACCAAAATCATGAAGTAACTAAAAGATCTATATTATCTAATGCTTTCAAAATATTTGACCCCTTAGGCTTATTATCTCCGTGTATAATTCAACCCAAAATTCTTATGCAAAGGTTATGGTCTAAGGGTTTTGATTGGGATGAACCTGTGTCTCAAGATATTAAAAATACTTGGCACGAAATAGTAAGCAACTTTAATTCACTTTCTACTTTACGAATCCCAAGAAGGGTGCTCTGTGATTCTCCAAAAAATATTGAGTTGCACTCATTCAGCGATGCATCACAATCTGCATACGGTGCTTGTATTTATATTAGATCTCAGACTGAGGATGGTAGCTATACTGTTAATTTATTGTGTGCTAAAACGAAAGTAGCTCCCCTTAAACCTACGACCATACCTCGTTTAGAGTTGTGTGCTGCCTTACTTGCTTCAAAATTATCCAAGGAAGTTGTTGACTCCCTTAGGTATGTTCCTTCTCGTATAGTTCATTGGTGTGATTCTAGCATTGTGTTAGATTGGATAAATACTGAGCCTACAAAACTAAAAACATTTGTATCAAATAGAATAGGAGAAATTTTAGAATTAACTGTACCTAAATCTTGGAGATACGTACCTACAGATGTAAATCCTGCTGATATGATTTCCCGTGGCGTGAACGCGTCGCTTTTGTGTAGTATGGATTTGTGGTGGTCAGGTCCTACTTATCTGAAAAAAGAAGAATGTCAATGGCCTATACTAAATAAAATAAAACAAAATTACTTACCTGAAATTAAGGTAACCACAGTAGTAGTCCAGGAGGAATCATCATTCGATTTTAATAGGTATTCTTGTTTTAATAAACTGCAAAAAATAATAGCTTACATTCTACGTTTTTTACATAATATAAATATAAAAAATTAACAAAATAAATTTTCAGGGAATTTATCAGTGGACGAGTTGAATAATTCATTTAATAATATTTGTAGAATGTCTCAAAGGGAATCTTTTCCTCATGAATATAATAATTTGTTAAATAAAAAACCTATAAAATCGAAATCTAAAACTTTATCTTTATCGCCTTTTTTTGATAATGATAATAAATTAATTAGAGTGGGAGGTCGACTACACTCCTCAGATTATAATTACGAAAAACGACATCCGATATTACTCGATTCTTCAAATTACGTCACTAAACTGTTGTTCGAACGCGAACACTTGCGTAATTTGCATGCAGGCCCTCAATTATTGCTGGCAACTATCAGGCAGACAATTTGGCCTATCTGTGGCAGAAAATTAGCCAGACGCGTGTCAAAAAATTGTGTAGTTTGCACTCGTATCCGTGGTCAAACGCTTGTTCCTAAAATGGGAGATTTACCTAAAACTCGTGTGTCAGTAGATTTTCCTTTTAAATCTGTTGGAATAGATTACGCTGGTCCCTTCCTCGTCCTTGATCGCAAGGGACGTGGTGCTAAATTGGTAAAATGCTACTTATGTTTGTTTGTGTGTTTACGCTTTAAATGTATTCATCTTGAAGCAGTTTCTGATTTGACTAAAGAATCTTTTATTATGACACTTCGAAGATTTGTAGCTCGTCGTGGACGTCCATCGGAAATATTTTCTGACAACGGCCGAAATTTTGTTGCTGCTGCTAAAGATCTTTCTTATTTTTTGAAACAAAATAATAATTCTCTCTCTGAGTTTGCATCACAGGAGGGAATAAAATTCATTTTAATACCGGCTTATGCTCCTCATTTTGGAGGCCTATGGGAAGCTGGGGTAAAAGCGGCTAAGCATCACGTAAAGCGCGTTATGGGTAATACACATTTATCGTTTGAAGAACTATTAACTTTGTTCGCACAAGTGGAGGCTATACTAAACAGTCGTCCATTGTACCCTATGTAATCCTCTCCTGACGACTTTCACTCCTTATCTCCTGGGCACTTTTTAATCGGCAGACCTTTAAATGCACTGCCGGCACCGGCATTAGAAGACAGCAAAATAAATCCAATCCAGCGACACCTTCGTCTTGAGCAAATCCGACAACATTTTTGGAGAAGATGGCAATTGGAAAACATCTCTGAACTACAACAAAGAACGAAATGGAAGACCGATAAAACAAAACTCAATATTGGAGATCTGGTCTTGCTGAAAGAAAAGGATGCTCCGCCATTGTGCTGGCGTCTTGGACGGGTCTCTCGACTGTTCCCAGGCTCGGACAGTGTAGCACGGGTGGCAGACATCAATACTGCAAGAGGTTGCGTGCGTCGACCTCTGTTTGGCCTGTGCCCTTTGCCAACTTCTGAAGCTTCAAGTTGAAAGTCATGTCTTTCAAAGGAGGGAAGATGTTCGCGCGCTTAAGTTACGGCAAACTACACAACACTTTGTTGCGGGTGGAAGAATAATAAATGTCACTCACTACTAACTCGGCCATTTTACACAAGTGATTCTTGCTCTGTATAATTTTATTATATTAAATGTCTAAATAAGTAAAACATCGAGTTTCACTAAAGAAATTCCAATCTTGTGCTAAAACACACTGCATATACAATTACATGAAATCTTATTTTAACACTATTTTCAAAGTTCACTATTTGTTATAGTCCAGGTTTTGTTTAATTATTGATTGTTTAATTTCACAGTTCACTTTTTGTCGTAATTCGGCAAATTTTTTTTTTTTTCTCCTTTTTTTTTCTTTTTTTTTTATACTTTTAGCGAGCATGTTCCGGCCTTTCCAGTCCAAAGCGCCCCGACGATGCATCAGCTGTTCTGGTTTTCTTTGTGCTGATTATTTTAGCGCAATCAGCGCATCAACGATCGCCCTGTCTCTATTTTTAATCGCCATCTGCAGTGAGTACTCACGAATGTCCGAGTGAGTCGCGCCTTCGGCCTCTTGTATAAAACGAGCAACTGCGTCTTCTCGATTTCTCGTATAATATACGCAGTCGCCTGTGTGTCTGGTGATGGCTACCACGGCATGAGAGTAGCTGCCATGCACTTCCAAGGGTTT